AAAAATAGCTATTTTTCGGAGGGAGAGAAGCGACGACCGGAAATGCGTCTGCGCTTCGCAGGCTATGTCTTCAGTTTCTTTTGGGAGTTAAAATGGCCCCAAGGGAAACTTAAAACAATGCTTATGCAAAATTTTTGGGTGACAAACAAAGAGTATTATGGTATGTTATGGTATTTTCTGGAGTGGGGAATTTGGGCGAGCGAAGCGAGCCGCACGAGAACGCGCGAGCCAGAGGGGCCGAGGAAAGGAGATCTTGCAACGATCTCTCATAAAATTTCATTTGTACTTCGCCCAGATGAAGGGAAATGCAATTGGCGTTTATAGTTCTTGTGGAAGGAAAATGAAAACCCTTCTTCAGTTGTATTCGTTTGTGTCAAGCGCCTTGTGTTAACACCAAAATGAAAATACTTTCAGTATCGAATAATGAACGTTAATGAATCATCAAGCATTGCTATTTTAATTATTATTATCACTGAGTAGAGTGTTTTGAATTGTTATATAAATACGTTCTATTAGAATGTACTGGGCTTACAAAAGCTATTTGTTTTTCGTTAATAAAGTTTGGCCATTCTCTCAGATTTCTCTGTAAAGATGCTCTTTTGGACGTCGGTTTCTCTTTGCACACGTGCCGCTATTCAATTAAGAAATGATGCTTTTTGTTTAAACTAAACCCACGCAGAGGCTCTTAATCTAATTAGTTCTGGTAAATTTAACGACATTTGTTTGTTATCTACATTAATTGGCTTAATTGGTTTTTCCTAAATCTTCAGAAGCTTGACCTTGTCAAGTCTTTTCGTGGAGGCATTCCTATTTTTACTATCTTTCGCGTATTTAGTGGCTTGATCGAAACTTTAGTGCGCTTCCAAAAGAAAACCTTGTCCAACAGACTATCTTAGTTAACTCGTTGTGATAAACAAGCTTTTGATACTGCCTAGTTCAATTTACTTGCTAAAAGTTGTAACGAGTGATATCTTTGTTTAAAGGCTTTCGCAATGTAAATATCTTGTTAATTGATTTTTGATTAGGGATTTGTGAACAATCTTTTAGTTAATATATGGAAAAAGGCGGGACTAATTACCATTGTACGATATTCCAACAAGAAGCTTTTAAGGTGACTCGACCCAGTTTTTTTGGGGGGGTACCATCCTACTTTGAAGCTCTCTGGTATCCCCACCTTTACTTTTATCGTAAGTCTAACACATAGAATGGATAACATAGAGATCAATCTACAATATAACATAAAATTTTTGGCGATCGGAGTAAATGTCACGTGGTTATAATGCCACGCCCCTTTGAGGTCTGAGTCGAAAATCTGCTGTTGCCGGCATTTTTTCGTGAAAATCTCTCGGCTACACATAGTGCGCATTAGTGCCTTGCGCTGAACAGAGTTTCACCAAAATCGCAAAGACCCAATTCGAGAAATTCAGCGGTTTCCAAATTTAGGTCATAATTTATGCGAAAATGATAAGCAAACTTTACACGGATTATATCTAATAAACTATGAGATTCATCTCTTTATTTTGGGCATCGTTATAACAGATGGGTCCTTGCAAGTCAGCAAAACGCTTTAGGGCCTTGTAAATGCGCGCGATTTCGAGCAAAGCAAACATATAGAAATTATAGTTTTCGCTATTTGTTGACGTTTGTCAGCGTTTAAGAGTCCTTCTCACGAAAAAAGCATTTTCTTAAAAATTCGTAGTTTTTTTTCCTTCAAATTTTTTCAGGGCCACAATTGATTAACTAACTACCCGGACTCTGAATTTCATGGTCATTGAAAAACTGTGACATTATCTTCTATAAGCCCAAACTTGAGTAAACATTGAAGATTTTTAGCGTTTTGGCTGAGTTTGTGCTTTGGGAGTTGTCTATTGTTTCTAGTCTGTCATTATACAGCATTCTTGTTCAGCACGCGTGCAATGACCACGCTTGGCTGACTTCCGAATGCTCACCGAGATATTCCCGTCACGAGTTGGTTTAATTATTGGCTTGCATTAAACCTATGAAAAAATGATATTTTTTTAATAGTAAGTAGATTTAGTGTGTAGCACTTCTTGATTTTTTTGCAAAGGCACAAGAAGCACGAGAATTGATTAAAAATTGTGACTTAAACCTCTATGTATCACGCGATGGCCTGTCTCACTGTACCAAAATTATTATATCTCGGTGAGCATTCGGAAGTCAGCCAAGCGCGGTCATTGCACGCGTGCTGAACAAGAATGCTGTATAATGACAGACTAGAAACAATAGACAACTCCCAAAGCACAAACTCAGCCAAAACGCTAAAAATCTTCAATGTTTACTCAAGTTTGGGCTTATAGAAGATAATGTCACAGTTTTTCAATGACCATGAAATTCAGAGTCCGGGTAGTTAGTTAATCAATTGTGGCCCTGAAAAAATTTGAAGGAAAAAAAACTACGAATTTTTAAGAAAATGCTTTTTTCGTGAGAAGGACTCTTAAACGCTGACAAACGTCAACAAATAGCGAAAACTATAATTTCTATATGTTTGCTTTGCTCGAAATCGCGCGCATTTACAAGGCCCTAAAGCGTTTTGCTGACTTGCAAGGACCCATCTGTTATAACGATGCCCAAAATAAAGAGATGAATCTCATAGTTTATTAGATATAATCCGTGTAAAGTTTGCTTATCATTTTCGCATAAATTATGACCTAAATTTGGAAACCGCTGAATTTCTCGAATTGGGTCTTTGCGATTTTGGTGAAACTCTGTTCAGCGCAAGGCACTAATGCGCACTATGTGTAGCCGAGAGATTTTCACGAAAAAATGCCGGCAACAGCAGATTTTCGACTCAGACCTCAAAGGGGCGTGGCATTATAACCACGTGACATTTACTCCGATCGCCAAAAATTTTATGTTATATTGTAGATTGATCTATATGTTATCCATTCTATGTGTTAGACTTACGATAAAAGTAAAGGTGGGGATACCAGAGAGCTTCAAAGTAGGATGGTACCCCCCCCAAAAAAATGGGTCGAGTCACCTTAAACGACAACTTAAGCACTGTTCGCGAATTGACAAATTGTACATTTTAGAGTAACGATATTGTACAGATGTGATTTTCATTCCTGTAAATATTCCTTGTAATTTTTGTGTCTCTCTGACGGTTTTGTTTTGCCTGGACAATTGTTGGACAAAAGTGAATTCTGGAGCCTCAACTGATTTTCCTATTACGACACAACCTCGAAGGAAAATATGTTAATAATTCTTATAGCTAATCGAGTTTTTACTGATGTAAGATTATTTTAAGTTTGAGTAAGATGGCAGCCTTCAGATTCAGTCAGGATAAAAGGAGCTGTAACTAGGTCTTGTCAGAGAGAGATACTGCTAACCTTGATTGTGAGAAGTTGAGCAACAAGTGATCTACATTAAAACAATTTAAAGAGAGAAAACGTTTGAGTTCATTGTAGAGGATTACTGTTCCCCCATGTTTCCTACCCTGACACTTGTTTAGTTCTGAAAACGAGAAGAGTGAAAATGAAGAGACCATTCAAGCGCCCAGTTCAAGCGCTGCCTTCCAAAGTCGGTTTCTTCGCCCGACTGAATTCCACTGGGTAGAAAAATTCAGAAACATGTACTTGACATTGTAGCTGTGTAGCTTGACCGTAACGAAGGACAAGAGAAAGAGTTGGTAGCAACTGGAGTACAACTTAAGAGAACCAAGTCCAGGAAAACGCTATTCTTCAGTTCCGTAACGGACAAATTTCGACTCCACTACACGAGTACAACATGAATTAGAAAAACCATTACGTTTATTTTGGCTGTTTCGGCCGAGCACCGCAGATATAACAATACGTTATACAACATCTTCTATTACATTCAAACATGTGGTGGAAAAACTAGAACATAGCTGAGCGACGGTTTACACAGAATACTGTCAGAACAGAGGCCAGGAAAAACCTGCCGGAAAAAGCCCCAGTAGGGAAAAAAACTCGGCAGGAAATCTGGGTAGGATCCATGGTTCATGCTCTGAAAAGCCCATCCTACGAATCGAAGGCAGGAGCCGATTACTCCTGACGAAGGCTACACGACTGGAAGGTCTTTGCCCTTATTTACTAAACATGCATTCCAACAAAGCATGGCAAACTCTAAATAATTTTAGGAAACCCAAACAAGCAAAGAAACCCCTGCGAAACTCGAACTGTCACTAGTAAATCAAATATATACTAAAATAAATAAATGAATAAATAAAAAATAACGTGAGGTAGACGAGGTGTCGGCCTAGAATGCTTTTCCACGTGATAAGCATCCCTTTTATAGCACTCCATTTTACCCATACTGCACTTCAACTGCCCCAGTCCCCACTGCTTTCGTGCCGCAGAAATATTTCATTTTCGGCTAATTCGTATCCACTCAAACGCCGGAAATTCCATATATATAACGTTTTTGTTGGTGATTGCGACGGGAAGTACTCTTCTTCACTGTAGTATGGACGACTTTTCAAAAGTAAACGAAACAAGAGTCAAAGTATTGAGTTCTTATCCGAGCACGTTGAAATTCGATGTCCCGGTGGGAAAAAAAGCATATCAGTGATTAATAACATTGCTTTGATGCTGTTACGAAAGCGATTTATAAATAAATAATTCTACGCGCCCTGGGCTGTCTAAACTTGACAGGCGGTTGTCACTTTTCTAATCGGCGGGAAGTTTGCGGTGACAGTTTTCACGCTTTGCAGAGTCCCGTGGTTTCTGGGGTGGAAATGAAAATTTATGACAGATCGTTGCAAGTTCTCCTTTCCTCGGTCCCTCGCTTGCGCGTTCTCGCGAGGCTGGCTTCGCTTACCCAAATAGGAGAGCTTGCTCGCAGGCTAGCGTGTAAGATTCTTAAGCTATGCTGAACGTACTGATTTTGAAAATAAAATCGACTGTTTTTCAGTCTATTATCGCTTTAAACTTTACCTTTGTATTCATTAGTGAAAAACTATTATTATTAAAAAAAAAGAAAAAAAACAAAAAGAAAAACTTTTTTACCTATTGTAGAGGATGGCGGCCAAGGGACCGGAGTGTTCAATCTGTTTTGAACATTACAATGACCAAAGCAAATGTCCTAGGATGCTGAGTTGTGGACACAGCTTTTGCCAGATTTGCCTGGAGAGACTACTGCATGGTAACACCATTGATTGTCCCAAATGCAGAAATCCAGTTGCCGTTCCTTCTGGGGTCCATGGTCTGTCAAAGAATTTTGCATTACTGGACATCGTGAACGAAACGGCACCCAAACAAGATGCTGGAAATACAGGTCATACAGGCACGAACGAATGTGAAGCTTGTGATGAGAAACACCCAGCAACGTTTTTTTGCTTGGACTGCAAAGAAAACATGTGCAAGACTGCAGCTCAGATTCATAAACGCAGCAAATTAAGTCGTGACCACCGCGTTGTTACCTTCAAGGAACTGAAAGAAAACCCTCAGCTGGCTTCTGTATCGATTCTCTGTCCGGAGCATAACGATCAATTCCGATTTTTCGACGAAAATTGTGGTCATGTTATTTGTAGAGACTGTTATGCCCTTAATCATAACGGGCACAAGTGTGTAGTAGTAGCTGAAGCCGCTTCAAAATACCGACAGGAGATGGAGGCGCTTGTCACCAAAGCCAGCTGTCAAGTCGAAAAGATTAAAGCTGCTAAAGATCAAGTGGAGAAAGAATTTGATTTTATAGAGAAGGCTTGCAGAGAAAGGCGTGTTGAAATTGAACGCTTTTTTAGAGAAGTAAGGCATATATTTCTTATTAGGGAGAAAGAGCAAAACAGTATTCCTAACTTACGTACTAGTTTCAATCAGCAGTCATTTTATCTACGGAATAACGGTTCATGCTGGCAGTTGAATAAAGAAACAAAATGGTCAAAAATTTTGACATTTAATGTCCTCAGCGTGGAATGCAGAAACCAGTGATAATTAAATGCTTATCGCGGATCATGAACTAGGATCGTTGGACTAGATATTTAAGGGTAGGCCTACCGGAACATTATTCAATTGAGCTGATTCACTGAACACACCTCGGGATGCACCTATCCATTTTTTTTATCTATGACATCTGGATTGTTTGTTTGGAATAAATCCGCGGGTATAACAGTGTGTGTTTTCTTTTTTTATATTTATTAGCTTCGTTCCGCGTTATCTAACCGAGAGGATGCTCTGGTGAATAAATTACTCTGCCTTCGTCTACAAAAGGAAGATATCCTCTCCGAGCAGCTATGCCGTTTAACAACCAGCCAAGCATGTTTAGAGGATGCACTCCAACGAGCAAAGTCTTCCATCCAATCTCCGAGCGATGTTCATTTCCTTCTCAGCAGGTCCGATATAGTGTCCAGTCTTAAGACGAAGGAAAGCTATTCAATGGTGCTTGAGCCAGAGGCCCAGTTTTTGCCGGAGTTCACCATGGAAGAAAAGGGCAGAAAGGTGATTTTAGTTATCCATGAATTAGCCTGGGACCAGGCAAATGGTTTTCTTCGGGCGCCATTCGATTCTTTTCTCCGGGATGAATAGTGTAGCAGATATTCTCCACATAGCAGTTGTCAACTACCCTGGTCCCAGACGTTTCTCTTGAAAATTTTCTCCGCGTAAGAGAGAACTGGAGCTGCGCAAAGCGGCGATCTGGTACCAGGGTAGTTGGTATTCGTCGAGTAGTATTTATTCATTTCCGTGTGAAATTTTTCGCCATTGCCTCCAGCTCTACCAAAAGAGCCTAAGCTGAGCTAACACAACCTCTTTCCCAAGGCTTCACGATTGTCTACCTTTTTCTGCAGTTATCCCGCTCAATTGATGCCTTTTGGTGGGGGGGGGGGGGGGGGGAAGGGGGGGGGGGGGGGGGGGGAGATATCGCAAACGTCATCCAAATTTGGTCAACGCTAACTAGTTCTGAAGAATTTGTCGAGGATTTGAGCCAATTATTAATTTCTTTGTACAATATAGATACGACATTCGTTGCCTTTATAGACCTATGTGGTAAACTGGGACTCAGTGTGACATCAGTATCACGTGTTTTCGTTTTGGGAAAATCCCAACCCCCACGAGCTTTTCTCTTGCTCGAAGATTCTGAGTTTTTTCTGATGTTGTCTCTGCTTGTTATTCTGAGAAGCTGCATTGCTAGTCTGAAGGTTTTGAATTATGATCTTGAAGATCACCTGGAGAAAGTCTACGATTGTGTCCTTTTTGTGCAGACTATGCCAATGGTGTGGGCCAGCTTTGCGCAGAGTCGTTGCCCACGATCGATTAGAGTACAGACACACCAAAATGCATTTCTCAGTTCACAAATATATTTTTCTCTACGAACTCATCCATTAGTTGCTTAAAATTTGGTTGTCGCAAAGATAATTTTATTTTATAAAACTGCTAAGAAACAATATCAAGTACTACGCGTGCCAAGTAAATCCTTTTTCAGTAAATGAGCTTTTGAAAATTGAATTTGTAAAGAATGTAAAATGCAACGATCTCTTTCAGCCTATCAAGTACCGTCCCAACAAGTTTGTACAGGTGGTTATCCAGAGCGCAGGAGACATCAGTGACATATCAACCTGTGCAGCAAACACAAATGCAACTGGCCCAGGAATAACAACTGCAAACCCTGGAAGCAAGGCGACATTTACTATTACTTCTCGCGACAGCCAAAACTTTCAACGCAAGCGTGGTGGCGACGTTTTTGTGGTGAAACTGCAACCAGAGAAGGGAAGAGATGAAATAAAGGTAGAGTTAAAGGACCGAAAGGATGGAACTTACTTGGCAGAATATACTGTCGACGAGATGTATGGTAAATTGACATTGTCCGTGTGCTTGCGAGGTGCACACATTAAAGGCAGCCCTTTTGTTGTAAATGTTGAACCTCTTATTCGTTCGAATTATCAGTATAATTCACCTCAACTGTCTTGGACTACGCTGCCTTAATTGCAAGAAGAAATTGGATAAGTTAGCTAAGCTCAGTTTTGACGAAGCGCAAGGAACCACGAGAAGAAGACAGAAAAGGCATTGCTCGCTTAATTCTCCTTCCTGTCATTTTAATATGACGAAGGGGTATCTGCAACGAGGCAGGTTTGACCTTTTTAGCAGGAGGCACAACTTGCGCAAAGAGAGTTGTTGGGTACCTGCCCCTTAAGTTGTGAAATCGTTGATTAACGTATTGTGGTGCAACTAGCTCATACCATTGGTACACCTTGAGAGAAAACTAAAGGTTTTCTATTTGTGCGATTGGTTAATGTGGTATTGTTCTTATACGGAGCATTACTTAATATTAAATAATCCTTAGATCCAAGAGAAGCATTTCCATTTCCCTCGTTGTTTAATATAAAGAAACGTTAGGTTTACAATCAGGCCTCTTATGTTTAGGATGAAAGGTTACGAAATTGGCCGGATTTGCTAGCCTGCGCATTGAGAGTTAGTTTATTAGATGTAAACTTATACTACTCCTAGAGTTTGCGCAATTCAGCATTGGCAACTGTTTCAAGAGCTTTAAAGTTTTTGTCAGCATAGAGCATATTGTTATCGTAAGCGAAAAGATCATAGAGTTCGAGTTTTGTAGGGCACTGGTGAATATCATTAACATGCAACAAAAAGAGAAGAAGACCTAAAGGTGAAACTTGAGGAACTCATAAGCTGATTATGGTTTTGCTCATATGTGCCCAGTCGCCAATTTGAGATGTTTGAGTGCTGCTGTTTAGATATGGGGAAAACAATTGATGAATCCTAGAAAGCCGTAAGAGTTACGTTTGTCTAGCACTATGATGTGGTCAACGATGTCAAAAGCTTTTTTTAGAGGTCAATAATGACACCGCAAGGAAATAGTTGTTGATTTATATTGCCCTCCTAGTGAATTGCATCAACAATGTCTAATATGGCATGTTGAGTTGATTTCCTGTGCGATCGCCGCACTTATAAAAGTACGGTATAGTAGATTGTATTCCTTTATGCAATTCATCATTCTCCCATACATAGGCCTTTCAAATATACTGTTAAAGTTTGACAATCAAGATATTTTGGATCTGGGTCCGTCTTAACGTCGCATTTAAATACAGGTACAATTGTAGACATTTCCAATTTTGAGGAATATTCTTCCTAGGTTAATAATATACTGAACATTGTGTTTTTTGGCAGCATTGAAACTCATTTACGGCATTGATTAAAATAAAAAAACGTGAACTCCTCAAATGTTTCAAGATTGTTTATGGCGTTTTGTCTGTTGTGACCAGTTACAGCAAAGGTCAGGGGTCGCGAACAAACCACAAAGTCACAAACTATTCTTACTACATATCTTTAGTCTTAAAAGGAAACGCAGGAAAGGAGTCCGTCGTGTTGGGTCTGCGTGCTAGTGCCATGATGCATTGCAGCCTCGCTTCAAACTCGTCTCTTGATCATGACCAGTTCAACGAAATTCGGTGGAAGTTACTCCGACGTTTTGCCCCTCCCAGCAGTGTTGTCAAATGTAGCTGGTAAAATATCCCAGCTTTAGTTAGAGCATTCGATTTCTGTGCATCAATTAAAAGAGTTTTTACAAAAGCTTGAATTCCCAAATCCAAGTTCTTGTCGAAATGAGAAACTCGCTTTTTTCACATTACTGCACAGGTAATTTTATTCTTTGGTTTTGTGGTCGGCAATTTTCAACTGTGTATGTTTTGTCTTTTTGAATATGTTCCATTTGAAAGCTAATAGCGACTGCCTTATCCAGAGTATACTCATTTTACAACGTAAGGGACATTTTATTTTTGAAACAACACTAGTTGTTGTTGTTGTTGTTGTTGTTTTTTTATATTGGCACGTTTTTGGAAACTTTTGTTTTAATGAACTGACAATATCATCTGCCGGGGCGTAGATACAATGTTCCTATATTTGCCTTTACGGGGAGGCTCCGCCCGAAAGGGGTATCTTTTTTAGGCCTCAGGAATATGAATGGGTGACCATTTCTTTAGTTGAAGTATATACGAAGGGTAGGGAAATCTGTCACTTCGGTCTGTAAAAAGGCTAAAAAAAGGACAAAAAGATGTATTTTACTACCCGTGAAGAAGTCCCCCAAACGTTTTGGTTTTGTGATTTTTTTCATAAATTAATAAAGACTGTGCATTTACAGCAGTTTAAAGGGATGCAGAGTTCTAAGCTTGGTCAGCCATCCTCTCTTGTCACGTATGTGCAACGAGTACCATTTGTCGGCAACAGGAGGTAAACGAGAGGGGTACCTTTTCTGTCAAAAATGGTAAAAAAGGAGTTAGACCTTTGGGCGGAGCATTCCCGTATAAAACTTTGTTAATCCTCCGAGCTCATGTTTCCGTGGTCTGCATGGGTACTTTTGTGTAGTTTAATCGGTCCGGGTGATAATCGTGGCCTCTGGACGCATTGCGCACGACTTGTTTATGTTAGTCGAACCGGTTCTTTTCTCTCATTAAGGAAAAAAAAAAGTTTTGTGGGCGCACACCGATAACCCATTGCTGGTTAGAGACCAGGCTATGGGGAGTGTACATTTTGTCTGCCGAGCCTGGATCAGCCTTTAATCCCAACTTCCCCTCCCCTGCAAAAGCAACAGTTTCATAGCACATCATCACGTGACCAAAATAGTTCAGGGCGGCAACAAAGCGGAAGCGATGGTGGTAAATGAGGTTCTTGTACTCGCTTTATTGAGCTTTTTGCCTCACTTAAGGTACGTATAACTTCTTTACTTAAAGAAATACAAAGTAGAGCTTATTTTAAGGCAATGGAATAGACTAATTCACGCTTATTCTCCGATCACTGAGCTGGATTATTGTCTCCATCGATACGTACCCACGCCGTCGCGCGCGTTTAGCTAAATTAAGCTTACATTTGTTTGGAAAATTTTGATTTTCAAGTGCAATCTGTGGATGAAATCTCATTGCTTTATCTTTTAAATGCAAGCTTTACGAAGAAAATGTTTCTTTATTTCAGTCTGAGGCGTTATTTTACGCAAATAAACAAATGGGATACAGTTTATGTCCTGCATATGCTTAGCATTCTATTACTAAGCTTACCATATAACTGGTCTGGTTGGATCGACTAGTTAAGCTTCCTTCATTTTATTGACAAAAGTCAAAGTGCTTCTACCTCTGGCTTTTCATTATGCTCAATCTTTTCCTTTGAAATTGGTCAGCAGTGCCTCTGCATGTTACATGAAACAGAGGCTTTGGTTTAACCCCCCCCCCCCCTTTATACATTGGGGCCCAAAGTCCCCCACCACTCCCC